TATTGTGAAATATTATTACAATTTAAAATAACTGTTTTCTATTTGCATAGATTTTAAATTGTAATTTAGTCCTGTGATGCAATTACTCCAGTTTACTTTTCAGTGTCACGTGATCCTTCAGAAATCACTCTAATATGCCCGATTTGCTGCTTAACAATAGTTTCTTAGTATTATCAGTGCTGAAAACAGTTGTTCTGCTTAATATTTGTGTGGAAACCATGATACTTATTTTAAAAGGATACTACAAATGATAGAGAGTTAAAAACCAGCATTTTAAAATAAAATATTTTGTAACGCTACTGTCACTTTTGAGCAATTTCATGTGTCATTGCTGAATATTACTTAAAAATAAATTAATAAATAACTTACTGGTCACCAACTTTTCAACCATAGTGTATGTATATTAATGTAAAAATAATATTAAATGTGAAAAAAGACAAAATTATAGGCCTATATAATGTGCTGTAAGTTATATAATTTAGTATGTATCACATTAGATAGTCAAACCAAAATTTATTCAGACACCTTCAGCATTTCTCGCACAGTTTATTCGCTATAGTTTAGAAAATGGTAATAAAATATGACAAGAACTCAGCGTTAAACTGCGTCAGAACAAAGTCATCTTGATAATCAGATCAAAGTCAGATCACTTTGATAGAAAGGTATGTAATGAATTGGGTTGAATAGCTGTCAGCTGTTAAAGTAAAGTAGACAATTAGATAATACCAATTTAGGTCAACCAATTACCAAGCAATGCTTAATTTTGTTCAGTCTGTGGTGTAAAAAGGTCGCATTAACAATTAAAGAAAAACACTTAAAGGAGACATATTATGCCCCTTTTTACAATATGTAATATAAGTCTCAGGTGTCCCCAGAATGTGTCTGTGAAGGTTCAGCTCAAAATACTCCACAGATCATTTATTATATCATTTTGAAAATGCCTATTTTGAGTGGAAGCAGAAACACTCTGTTTTTCGGGCCTGTCTCTTTAAATGCAAATGAGCTGCTGCTCCCCACCTACTTTTCCAGAATAGAGCTGTGCCATTACAGCTCTTATCTGCTAAAAACATCTGTTTTGGTTCTGATTATCATGTCTATTGCGCTGAAATCATGCGGTTTAAACCATATGAGTTTAAACTTCTGAGATACAGAAAGCAGCTGTCACAGCATGTGAGTTCTAAACTAAGTTCTCTTTCATACACAAGTTTACATTAAAAACACACAAGTTTACAGATTAAGGGGCGGTAATATTATGAGATTGAGATCCCTTTGCCACGTCACTAAGGGAGCGAAATCAGACTCGCTCTTTTTTTCAGAGGCTTGCAGAAAAAGGCTTACCAAAACAAAGTTACTGGGTTAATCTTTTTCCCGTTTCCTTGGTTGGTAGATGCACTGGGAACCTGATTATAGCACTTAAAACCTGGAAAAGTCAGATTTTCATGATATGCCACCTTTAAGCAAAACATGGTCAGGTCAAAGTGTCTGGATAATTTTTAGTCCCAAATTTTTTATCAATGTAGAATTTTTGGTAAAATATGTAACAGTTTACTTTAATTTGCTTTCCTCACTTACATAAATGAACTATAGTGTACTGCACCCACTAGTTAAAAAAAAACACATCAAACATTACATCTGGTGTCTGAATAATTTTTGGTTTGACTGTATGACTTTATGTAGATTTTTATTATAATTAAGAAATTATAATTTTAATTATTCTAATAAAAAAAAATGATTCCATCCAGCCATTCTGCCTTCGATGGTGGATAGACGCAGTGGACATATTGTTGTCATCAGTAGCGTGCAGGGAAAGATCTCCATACCGTACAGATCTGCATGTGAGTACACATTCACAAAAGAAGGTATTTCAAAGGAATTCAAAGATTTTTCTGCATGAATAAATACAGTATTACATGTGACCCCAATACCTTGCTTGCATATCTGAATCGTTTTCTGTTAGATTCTGCATCTAAGCATGCGACGCAGGCCTACTTTGACTGTTTGAGGGCAGAGGTCGAGCAGTTGGGCCTGGCGGTGTCAGTCATCAGCCCTGGTTACATCAGAACCAACCTGTCCATCAATGCAGTCACGGGGGACGGCTCGAATTATGGAGGTGAGCGCATGTTGATCTTGTCAACAATCTGAGTTATAAAAGATGTTTTGGAAAATGAGTATCATAAATATACAAATTTTAATATTATTCATACGTTTAATTTTGTGTGTGTGTGTGTGTTCTTTTGGATCTGAAGTAATGGACAAAACCACAGCGAGGGGGTCGGATCCGGTGGACGTGGCAGGTGCCGTTCTGAAAGCTGTCTGTCACAAACAGAAAGACGTTGTATTGGCTGGACTGCTGCCAACTGCAGCCATCTATCTGCGCACACTGTGGCCCGCTCTCTACTTCAGACTGATGGCTTCACGTGCCATAAAAGAACACAGAGTGAAGGAGGAATAAGAGAAAACAGTATCTTTGCATCTTTCTTCGTCGAAGTTTTATGTCTAAAGGTAAATACTCATGGAATGTATTTAATAAATATTTAAAAATGGACTCAGTTGCTCGAATCACCCCTGATCTTTGAAAAACACAACAGTCTTTAGATAAGCAGAACACACGTTCATCATACAAGAACCAGATTGCATCTATTTAAATCACATTTCTGCTGGTCTTAAACAGGTTTAATTTGCCCTTCCACAAATTTATAGTCAAAAGTGTTACATGCACTGCAAAAAATGAATATCTTTGTCAGTATTATTGTCTTGTTTTTCAAGACATGTCTATATTACTGTTTTAGTTTTCAATACAAATATCTATATACAATAAACAAAACTGAGTGAGTTTATCTTTTTTTTTAAATTCTGTGGGGTATGAAAACTGGTTTTCCCTTTGAATTAAGTTGAAAAAAAGCTTTTTTTAGAACATTCATTCACTTCATTTTGATACATTTCTCAGAAAATATGATGACTTGTCATTTTTGAATCTATCTTGATTTTTGTTTGTGTAAAATTAATTGGAAATGGAGATTTTACATTTCATACATTTCATTTTCAAACTTTGAAGCTATAGCAATTCATCCTTAAATTTTTTTCAATTGGTCTTAAAAAGTCTTACATTTACCTTCATAAAACTCACAGAAGGCCCATTATGTTGTCCTGTATTAAGTAATTTGTTACTTTATTGTAGGGCTTGCATAGACTAGTCGAGTGATCGAGTACTTCAACCACTAGTCGGCGCTGTCGGAAACAATCGACTACTCGAGCATGCATTAACCATAATGCATGCACAGAGTTTGCAAATACGACGTGAATTTTACAGGTTTGCTTTGAAAAAAAAAATGCTTCTGAAAGTAATTTTCAGATGCAACGGGGGAAAAAACGGGATAAACACAAACATGAAACTTGTCAATAGAATAATCTGATATATAGCCTACAATTTAATAATATAGCCTAGTTTGATATATGAATAGGGTGTTCGTCAAAGATTCCCGTGTTTACAGCTCCATAAAATAACCCACTGGAAGCTCTGTAGTTTTGCTGTATAGGCCTATAGATAAAAATATTACAATTACAAACACACAACATTTTGAGTTCCTTCCATTTCTGAAAAAAAATTATGTAGGCCTAGTAATTGATGTTATAAATACACACGCCTAATCAAGACTGAAAAAAGCCATTAGTGAATGTAAACCAGATTTGGCCCAGACTCTGTTGCTATCTGTGAAGCCAAGCATAAGAATAGCCTACGAATGTAAGTTTGTTAACCCACAGTAACACATTTTAACAGATTAATCGCATATTTTCGTTTGCTGCATGCTTTTAAAAACACAATAGCATTTTTTTGTTGTTGAGGAAAATAAAAAAAAGTTACGTCTCGTATAAGTTGCATTTTCAGAAATAATAACGGCAGGCCTAATAATGTTGTAATGTACCAACATTATGAACACTATAGGATAATTTAGTTCCCCTCACTTTACAACAAATCCTTTAAATTGAACCGTATCAGAACAGAATAAGAATGTAAAAATATATAATTCTAATGGATAGATATAATTGCAGTATGTAATAATTAGCCTATTAGCCTTATTAGGTCAAATAGGCTTTGTAGTTCACGCGCGTTCCAGTATCGACGGAAAAATATCATAATGAGAAAAAGTATGCCGCAGTGGAGCGGGTCTCACGCCGAGCAGCACGGTGAACGCGAGGCGGCGGCGCGATCAAACAGCTGAAACATAGAATACACTACTCCCTCATTTCTGGTCATACAGTAAAGGCATAATTCGAAACTGCAAAGTGTTACCAGTTTGAAAATTCAAGAATAATAGCAAAGTTAATAAGAATTCTTTCTAAATGTAGTACCGTTCTTATTTCGCGCTGCATAACCTGAACGGAAATTTATTTATTTTTGCTAAGAACGAACCGAAATGAAAACATTTCGCTTTTAATCTGTGTATTTAACAGCCTGGGACACCTTCCCAGGGCAGTACCTTGCCTCACCGACTAAAATCAGGGCGCCCACTACGGAGACGGCACCAGAGGTGAGGGGGCACAGTGACCGAGGTGGCCGGGCCGGGCCCCCTCAGCCACCCCGAATGCAGATACGAATCATTTTGTGATTGTTACAGATACAAATACTGGCTGTTACATGAAAATTTAAATATGTAATGTCATAATTATAAAGTTTTGACAATTTACATATGTAATTGTTGCATTAGGCTATGAATTAATAAGCGTTTATTGATAAGAACTATTTCATGTCTTTTCATTTACAGTAGCATGAACCACGAGTTGTCGAGTAACTAGAGTATTTTTTAAATAAGAAATCGACTAGCAGAAATCAGTAGTCGTGCAACCCCTACTTTATTGATTACTTATAACCCCTAATTTATTATTAACTGACTTTTCCACTCCATGCACCCTATTAGACTCGGCGCATTTTCATTTCACCTTTTGCCTACAGTTATAAATCAAATCACATGTCTCTTTGTAGTTCCCGTTTGGTAATAACTGATTATCATCATAATGTTCAGGTGGCCCTTATTACAACAGGAAGTTGAAATGATCTGAACGGTTAATGATTTGTTTATGTTTTAATAAAGTTCTCACCTGCCTTCTGCCACAATTATATATTACTTGAAACATTTCCATGACAACAAAAAACAGTAAGAACACATGTGGAGCATCACTGCAAGGACCTCATGATAATCTGGTTATGGCAGATGCTTATGACTGGTTTTGATTTTTGGTAGAGATGCGCCTCACATATGAGGCTCTCAAGAAGAACCTGGGAAATGAATGTGGATGACGAAATGCTTGTGCTTTAGAGGAAAAGCTATTTCTAAACAGTGCAATAACTGACATTGCTTCAAGAAACATACCAGTGGGCCATGATGTTTGTCCAAATTAAAGCTGTCCATTTGCAACTTCCTTGCAACATTTTAGTATTGAAAATAAATAAATAAATAGTCTCCAAATAAGGTTGATACTGGAAACTCAGCAGACATTTCTGTGACAGCAATGTTATTTAAATGGTGTTCAAACAGTTAGTCTAAACACAAAGAAAACCACTGCCTCATTCAGTCCTTCTTTCCACCGGTTCACATACAGCTCTAAACTCCCAGATATGAAAAGGTGTCCATGTGCATGAAATATGTGGTATTTTGCCCGATTCTTCTTCCACAAGTTTGCCTTTTACGATGCCTTAAGATGAGTTTCACATTCTCAGTTTTAAGCCTAGTTTCCTCTTAAACCCAGTAAAACACATTAACACCATTTACAGTCAAATACCTCACGCCTGAAAAGCCCAATTCCAGTTCCCTTAAAACCCTGCTCATATTTTATTAAAACCTAGCTGAATTTGATCTGTGACAAGCATATTTGAAAACTGATTTTTTTTTTAAACGCAACATATGGACTCACCTTCTGACCTGAGATCATCACAGACATGAACTATAGAAGAATTTCCTCACATGATCTAGACATGAACTTGGTCTTTGTGTTTAAGCACTAATCTTAATTTATCTTAATTCCTAATGAATCTTGAATTAAGCATAATTTCTTTACATGGTGTCACCTTTTAGGACATTCTAAAACAAGCGTTTTTGATTAACCTGAACAATGTTTTAAAAGGCCAAAAAAAAAAAATGCAATTTTTAAGAATCACTGACACGAACCATGCATCTGACATGTCAAAACTACAAGAAGAACTAAGCTTTTCTATCTAGCTCCTGAATGTGAAGTGTTAACCAACTGCAGACAAGAGGACTGTTTAAAAAACATGTTTGACAAAACATCAATTTTGCAATTCTAGTGAGCAGAAAATTACACAAACACTTAAAGGGATAAATCACCCAAAAATGAAAATTCAGTCATTAATTACTCACCCTCATGTCATTCTAAACCCGTACGACCTTCGTTCAGCTTCGGAACACATATTAAGATATTTTGATGAAATCTGAGAGCTTTCTGACCCTCCATAGACAACAATGCAACGGACACATTCCCAGACCCAGAAAGGTAGTAAGGACAACTGCAAAATAGTTCATGAACTACAGATGAACTAAAACTTTCACAAAGTTGTCTTATGCAAACTGTTAAGCAATTGTTATTGAATTAAACTGGTTTATCTGCTAATTCAAGCTATAGAAATAACAAAAAAAATAGTCTGGAACATAAGTAATTGATAAAACATTCAATATATGAGTGAACTATGCATTTCAGATGTTCCCATTTACTGCTCATCTTTTATATTTAACTTCATAAAAAGAACTGGATTTACACTAATCCATTTACTGCCACATTCAGTCCTGTGTTTCAAACACAGTTACAATCTCTCTGATTTGAAAAGGTTACCATGTGCATGAAATATACTCTATTTTCCTCTATATACCTCTAGTTTCCTGTAACAGCATATATGGGTCTAGATCAGGGGTGGCGAACGTCGGTCTTGGAGAGCCGCAGCCCTGCAGAGTTTTGCGTCAACCCTAATCAAACACACCTGAACAAGCTAATCAAGGTCTGAACGGTTATTAGGAAGCTACAGGCAGGTGAGTTTTAATTAGGGTTAGAGCTGAACTCTGCAGGGCTGCAGCTCTCCAGGACCGGAGTTCGCCACCGCTGGTCTAGATCATCACAAATTACCAAATATTAGGGGTGAAGTAAACTATCCATTTCAGATGAGTTCACATTTTCTGCTCATCTTTCATATTTACTTTTCATAACTTCATAAGAAGAACTGGATTCAAACTGATCCATTACAAACCACGGCTTGTAAAGCAAATCTGCGCGTGAGCTCTGCATGAAGGCTAAAACTCAGATGTGCGCCAAGAAAGAATCGGAGCCCTTGAGGTTCAAATAAAGGTGGTCAGAGATGCCAGTGAGGTTCAATCTCCTACTGTTTAATGAAAAGGTGATGCACCAAAGGCTGGGTACAGTAAAACTACAGAGGGAGAAAAGAGAGGATTCAAAGGTCATTCTTAAAACATGATCCGTCCGTCTGTCCACCACACGTTCAGTCCGACAGGTCGCTGCCCGGGTGCGGAAGCTCCGTGTGGGTGGCAGGTGACGTTTGGGGAGGGCCGCCAGGACAAGGAAGGGGCTGGACAGG